AGCAGGGAGCCCGATGCGGGACTCGATCCCAGGACCCTGGGATCATGACCTGAGCCAAAGGCAGACGCTTAACCATCTGAGCCACCCAGGCGCCCTTAAATGTCCAACTCTTGATTTCAGCTCAGGCTGTGATCTCAGGGTCCTGAGATCGAGCCCGTGTCAGGTTCTGCACTGAGCAGGGAGTCTGCTTGAGACCTCTGCCCCTCCCCCCACTTGTGCTTTCTCTCTCTCAAATAAATCTTTTAAAAAATACTGAATGGTTAAGTAATGAATGTACTAAATATAAAAAAAAAAATACATCTTTTTTGCTGATTTATAACAGGTTACAGACTCACAACACAGAAGAATCATGAGTGCACAGGATAATAAATGGACCTTTGGGGCCTACTGTAAGATCCCAAAGCTTCAAACATATATTAGCAGTTTAGAGGTAAACTATAAGGCCTAAGGAAAAAACATTTCTTCATCCACAGTATCTTTATATATACCATTAAGATGTTGTAGAACAGATTTTCCCTCACTTGTAGATTAGGCATTTTCGCCACAAAAATGGCAAAAAAAACCCCTTAAGTATGACTTAATGTTTTTTTTTTTTTTTTAAAGATTTTATTTATTTATTTGACAGAGACAGAGACAGCGAGAGCAGGAACACAAGCAGGGGGAGTGGGAGAGGGAGAAGCAGGCTTCCCTTGGAGCAGGGAGCCCGATGCGGGACTCGATCCCAGGACCCTGGGACCATGACCTGAGCCGAAGGCAGACGCTTAACGACTGAGCCACCCAGGCGCCCATGACTTAATGTTTTAAAATAACTTAATAATAATTGGTAAACTTAGCTAAGTCACCAACTAGCAACCTGAGGAAACATTATAACCAAAAACCTGAAATGTTTTTTCAATTTCCTCTTCAAGTTCTATCAGTACTGAAAACACAAGAACTCCTAAGACTTTCCACTGGTATGAGGAATTTTTACTCTATAACTAATAATGGTAATAAAGTCATGTCATATTAAGTTTTCAGTTATATCATCTTCAAACTACATTCTAGTAATTTCCAATTTCTTCTGCTGCAGAAATAGGAGAGAGAAAGGCATTAATATAGGGAGAATGCACCTTTAAACATATCACATGATTTTCGTTCTAATGTTATTCAAGCTGTTATGTGGATACCATTAGAAGTCAGAGTTTTTTGGCAAAAAAACTCTCTAGGTGACTTGGACCACATACTTTGCAATATATAAACACACCTTATATAATGATTCTATTATTAGAATTTGTGCTACCACTTTCAGCTCTAAAAGTTAACATTAGGGACACCTGGGTGGCTCGGTTAGTTGGGCGTCCAACTCTTGATTTCAGCTCAGGTCATGATCTCAGGGTGGTGAGACAGGGCTCCACGGGGCTCAGCGCTGGGCATGGAGCCTGCTTAAGATTCTCTTTCTCCCTCTCCTTCTGCCCCTCACCCTGCTCGCGCACTCTCGAGTGCTTGTTCTCTCACTCAAAAAATAAGAAAATAAAAGTTAACATTAAAGGAAGCAAAGCTGGAATGGTTTGTACTTGCAAAGCACTGAATGATACTGACAATAGCATTTAAGGAAGGGCTGTTCCCAGGACACTGTCATACCTGACCCTACAGGAGTTCTCAAAGCGAATACTGGGGAAAAATCCTCTCCTGCTTCTGGGAGGAGGTAGAGAAAAGGAACCATTTTCAGACAGCCAGCAGCATTCTGTTCTTAATAAGGTATGACCTCAGGAGAAACTATTTAAGCAGAGCCTCATCTGCTGGGGTTTAACCAGAGTCTCACTGACCGGGGGTAAGGAAAATACAGCCCTCCTGTCTGGCCTAAGGAGGATTAAGAAAACCTGAGACGCATGTGTTAAGTCCATGGTGCAGAGGCACATGCTCCATAGAAAACCTAACATCCTACTCATTGGTGACAAACTGAAAGTTTTCCCACCAAAACTAAGTATGGATGACAACAAGGAGTGGAGGCCCCCTCTCACCACTGCTTTTCAACATCATACTGGAAGTCCTAGCTAATGCAACAGAAAAGGAAATAAAAGGCATACAGACTGGGAAGGAAGGTTCAACAAGAAGTAAACCTACATAATACTCTTAACTGAGCCTATGAGATCTTCACTGCTAACTCTGAACCGATCTACATATTATTTAAGGAAGTAACACTTAACTATAGAACTTAAATGAGAGATACAAAATAAGTGGAAAGACTAAGTGGTATTTTCTTTTAAGATGGCAAACACACTACTTTTGTGTCGTTTTTGAGACGTCTCATGATTCAGGTTTTCCTAAAAGTATGGAACCTCAGAAATTCCATTTCCACAATACCTAAGCTGGAAGGGATAATAGGGAATCACTAAGTCCTTTCCTCTTTACACTTACAGGGCCGTGGTCACCCAAACAAGGAAGCAAGAGATGGACAGGGCTTTGATACTTCACTGACATAAAGTATCATTGAATAACTACAGGAGAAGGGAGATGACAAGGAACAGTTCCTGATGAAACAAATCTAAACAAATCCAAATTTAATATACAGCTTAGTAAAATATTTCAGATTAACCTTGATGTGATAATACTGAATTTGAAGAAAAATAATAATAGTTTATAACTAATAATAACCTAATTTTTTTGGTTATCTTGATAAAAGGACATTTTGCTCTTCGACTACAGAAATTCATTCTATTTGATGAATCCTTAAGAGTCTAAAACACATTTTGACAAACAAGATTTAATGCTGGTTGAAAATTTAACTCCTTAAGTAAAGGTGATATGAGGGTAGTATCTTTTAAAAAGAATCTTAAACTAAGACTCATTAAATTAGAAGAATTTAAGTCCAACAGTATTAAGTGTGGGTAAAGATGGGAGCAATACAAACTCACACACTGAATCAGAGTGGGAGTATGAATTAGTACAACCATTATGAAATTAATTTGGCATTATCTAGCCAAGTTGAAGAAGTGCATATCCTACTACCTAGCAAATCCACTCCACAAAAATATAAACCACACTAGGATAAATATGAAAGTGTGTTCTCAGCATTGTATCGTTCATAACTCCAAAACCTGGAAAACATACAAACACAATGTCTGTCAACAGAATAGATAAGCAGCAGTTATTCACATAATGGAATATAAACAGCAATGAAAAGAAATATTGTTATATACAACAAGGATGAATCCTAAACATATACTACTGAGTAAAAATAACTGTACACTAAAGAATATATAATATAGGATTCCATTTATGCAAAACAGAAAAGCAGATTAAATTGCTTTAAGAATTCAGACTTAAAGAGTAATACTATAATGCCAAACAAGAACATGACTAACATATAAGTCAGACTGTGTGTTACTTAGGGAGGGATATGATCAGGAAGAAGTACCTGGGGACTTCAGTTGAAGTTCCATGTCTTGCACTGAGTGGTAGTTACACAGATAGCTTTAAAAACTTTAGCTATGCACATTAAGTTTTCTGCACTTTTCTGTATATGTGTACAAATATTTCATATAAAAAGAAACATTTATATAAACATCTGTGAGTTCTTAAATAAAACACAATAAGCAAAAGCTTCTCTTAATGACTAACAATGACTGGTAAGCTCAAGATTTATTTGAGATGTAAATTTAAGGTGTATGGGATGAAGAGCTGATCTAAAATATCCCAGAGCAGAATTCAGTAAAAAGTACAAAAGGAAAGTGAGAATCTGAAAATTTACTGTTTTCAAACTATCTGTGGCCAACTGCCCAAATCTTTGTGTACCCCACACCAGAGGCGAGAAGCCAAAGTAACCTTTTGACCAATTTTCCTGGCCTATGGGAAATCATCTTATATTATTATCTTTTCATTTATTACTATCATTCATTCCTCTATAAATCTTTCATGCTAAACAAAGACTCACAAATAACACATTATCAAACTGCTGCCGTATTTCTCCTCTCCTTGCACTATTTGTCTATGATGGGTGAAGGAAAAGTATAGCCAAGCTAATTATGTGGTGTTCTGGGGCTAGAGGATACCCAAAATTACAAGTCAACATCATTAAATAATACTTCACATTTTTCTTAGATTTCTCAATTGACTATATATAATGTACATGACAAATGGACTTTTTCATAAACTTGTTGAAACACTATTTCTACTATAAACAGTACTCTAATTCAGTGGTTTTCAAATTGGGTTCCACAGAAACAAAGCATCTATGCAAGGGTGTCAGGGCTATGGGGCAGAAAACAAAATAGGTGGAGTGGGCTTCTGGTTCCCTACCATAACCATTACTGCAACATTTTTACTTGTGTTTTATCTGTCTCCCCTTCCCCCCATATTAAAGTTCCAGTAAGAATAGGAAAGAAGAAAAAAAAAGGTTTCCTCTGGTATTAAAAAAATTATATACAATCTGGAACCTCATCAAAACCAAAAAAAAAATCTTTGTTCTGCAAGACCTTGGATCTTGTGTTAAGAGAACGAAAGAACTACCAACTAAAAAGAACTTATATCTAGAATATTATTCAGAACTCTGAAAACTTGACAGTAAAAAAACTATCCAATTAGAAAATGGACAAAAACATGAAGAGATATTTCACTGAAAATGCCAAATAAGCATTTGAAAATATGTTCAACATGATCAGCCATTAAGTAAATGCAAATTAAACCACAATGAGACACCACTATACATTTATCAGAATAGCTAAAATAAAAAATAGTGGTAACACCAAATGATGGCAAGAATGTGGAAACTGTATCAATCACACACCATTGGTGGGAATGTAAAATGGTACAGCCATTCTAGAAAAGAGTAGCAGTTTCTTATAAAACAAAACATGCACTTACTTTCCCAGAGAAATGAAAACTTATATTCACACAAAAATCCACAAATGTTCCTAGCAGCTTTATTAATAGCCCCCCCAAATGGAAATGATTCAGATGACCTTCAATGGGTGAACAGTTGGACAAACTGTGGTACATCCATACCATGGAATGTTACTCAAAAATGAAGGAGCCATTAGACACATGCACAATTTGCATGGATCTAAATAAAATGATACTGAGCAAAACAAGCCAATTTCAAAAGGCTACATTTAGGTAACATTCCTGAAATGGCAAAATTAGAGAACAGACTAATGCCCCCCAGGAGTTAGGAATGGGGGGAGGAGGAGAGTAGGGGTATAAAAAGTATAAAAAAAGAGTATAAAAAGGGGAAGGAACACGATGGCTCCCCGGGGTGATGGAACTATTCTGTATCTTGACTATGGCGGTGGTTTTATGAATCAATACATATGATTAAATTGCCTAGAACTAAATATACATACACACAAATGAGTGCATGTAAAACTGGTAAAATCTAAATTTGGTAGACTGTATGAACGTCCTGGTTGTAATACTTACGTTATTAAGACATTACCATTGGGGGAAACTGGGTGAAGAGTATATGGGATCTCTCTTTACTATAATCTAATGGAAATATCATTATTATCTATTGATTAAATGACAGATGAATCTACAATTATCACAAAATAGCTTAAAATGTACACACACAACTCAATTTACCATTACACTAACCCACTGCCGAATTTCTGCTTTAAACAGGGTAGGGGTAAAGCATTTAAATTTCTGCCCAGACACTGACTGGCAATGTCATTCCTCTTTGGTGTTCTAAGTCAGACTTTAAAATCAAAAGTCTCATGCTCTACTGACTGAGCCAGCCAGGTATCCTTCTAAGGCAGACTTTAAGATACAAAAGTAAGCTGTCTGGGCTGTGACCAACTGTACAAGTGACGGAAGAGTTGAACAGACTGTTTACCTCATTCACTATGACATAGTAGAATTGTTGATGAACCTCTTAACTATGAAAGATAGCACTGCATATGTCTTTCAGGCTGTGGAGAAACTAGGTAAAACTTAGAAACTCAGTATAATGACTGAAGAATGTGGAGGGCTGGAAATAACTGAAGCTCTATAAAACCATGAAAAAGAGTTTGTATACAAAGCTTCACTAAACTTGACTGAGAAGTACTTCTCTTAAGATCAAAATATTGTGCCAGAAATTACCTCTGAAGGTTATACGTTCTAAATGGAGGATGGCATTCCTGGGACTTCTAACTTTTAGAGTGCAGGGCATAAAGCTGTTTGTACTACGTTTGGTATAAGTTTGTCCTACTGTTTCTCTACTAGGAATTCTTCTTAAAATGTGGCTATTGGAGCACTTTGTATAATGAAACTATATTTGAACAGTTCCAAACTGTACATACTGTATGAGGTTTCTCCTCTCAACAGGTTTCTTATTTCTATGTGGAATGTTATAACTTGCAATGTCCTGTAAATAGAGATTAAATTCTACCCTTTTCTTTACTTCAACATCTCCCCCCCCAATATTGACTTGCTTTTCCAGACGGATTCTACAATTATCTCACAGTGGAGATAATTTTGCTCACTTAAGGTCTAAGATTCTGAAATATCTTAAAAGTACCCCTGCTCTAAATCAAATCAGTCAAAAAACATTTACCCATAAATTCATGTTTATCCTTTAAACCCTTACTATTCAAATTGTGGCTTCTGAACTAACAGCAAAAGCATCATCTAGGAACAGGTAGAAATGCAGACTCTCAGCCCCTTGCCACACTTAGTGAATTCAGAATCTGAATTTTAACAAGAACCCTAGGTAACTCCTATGCACAAAAAAGTTTTAAGATGCACTGCTTTAGACATTCGAAACTTTTTAAAACAACTTTTAAAACCTTTAGAACAATGAAATTTTCCAATCACCAACATTTCTATTTTATACTGTGATTTACCTAAAACACAGAGCATACTTACTTTACTTTGCATCTCAGCCTCAATTCACTAGTTGTTCATCTCAAAATATGTTTTACTAATACTCTAAGAAACCAAGACTTTATAAAAAAGCTGAATCGCATAAAGGTTAACTGATGTAGTCAAGGTTACCTACACAACAGTCACCTCACTTTGGTTCACATACCCCTCTCCTAGTCAACTATTTTTAAGAAACACTGCGACCTTCCTGAATCCTTAATGCCATATACCACTGATTCTCAAACTGGTACTGGTTACATCTAGGCACATGAACATGGGCAGAGTACAAAACCTAAATCAATTACAGTAAAGTACAAATATAGTATCATTTCATAAGTTTTAAGCCCTATGTACTCCTGCCAAAAACCGTGGCATGAATAGGACACTGATCACCAAGAGGGCAAAAAACTATAATTTGGTCACCTTGGACTCTGCTTATAAAAAGCATTACTAAATGTGTGTAAGACAGCTGTTTTCAACTTCATCACCCTCTGCTTACCCTAGAAAATGGAATTTCAGGTCTATAAAATAAGATGTTGAGATGTATAATGTCTTAATGGATGAGACAAAATGAATCAGCAACAGCGAAGTAGGTGGTAGGCAATGTCTTATCCACACCTTATCTAAAAGAAGAGCTGCTCTCTAGGCATTCTGCTTGAAATGACAAGTGAGAATTAACACATTTATAATTTTATTTAAAATCAATCATATGTACACCATTTTTTTCAAGGGACAAATGCTCACTATGGCACTGCAAATTAAAAGAACATCTACCTAAATGAAAGTTATTGTTTTTAGAATTATCCAAAAAGCACTATCGTTTAATTTTTTTTAATTTCATTAATTTTTTTTTTAAAGTAGGCTCCATGCTGGTGGAGCCCAGTGCAGGGGGCTTGAACTTACAACCCTGAGATCAAGACCCGAACTAAGATCGAGTTGGACCCTTAACCAACTGAGTGACCCAGGCACCCTTATTTCTTAATTAGAAAATAAATGGAATCACTTTTGAACAGTCCATCAAAACAATTTAAGCTTGAGTATTTGATTTAAAAGAATAGAGCACAAGGCATTAATCTATAATTATAGTACATTTAGTGTATATATTGAAAATTATATACTTACTTTCTGAATGAATTTCTCAACACTCTGTACCACATGTTTATAGAACTAAAAGAAAAAAACATGAAGTGTGGTTTTAAAATCTATTCAGTTAGATTTGAATTTTCCTGTTAAACACAGGTTTAACATAGTTTCAAAGGTCTATCAAAACAATGAATTTTAATCATGAATTTTGAGACAAACATGTCACCCACCTTCATAAGCAATTATTATGATACCTAATTAGTAAAGGATTCTTAAAGTGCATACATGGTCAGTACAACTGACCCTTGAACATAGGTTTGAATTGTGTGGGTCCACTTACATGCTGATTTTTTCAATAAACACAGTACAGTACTATAAATGTATTTTCTCTTCCTTACGAGTTTCTTTATAACATTATTTTCTCTGACTCACTCAATTTTAAGAATGCGGTATATAATACATATACCATACAAACTAGATGTTGATCAACTGTTTGTTATCGGTAAGGTTTCTGGACAACAGCAGGCTATCAGTAGTTAAGTTTTGGGGGAGTCCAAAGTTATACATAGATTCCTGACTGCATGGGGGATCAGCACCCCAACCCCCATGATGTTCAAGGGCCAACTGTATATCCAAAGTTTGTTACGAATTAGAAAAGAATTTGATCACAGTCCTCATAAAACCATACTTTCACAAATTGTTATGTTGACAGCAAAGTACTTGCAATAAGCACACTGGCAGATGTATATTCTTACTTTCAGGGAAGGAAAAGATTTCCTACGGTATCATTAAATTAGGGTAATACTAGAAATATCAAATAACTCAACAAATAGCATTAATAAACATATGCAAGGGAGTTGTTTTCGACTTCATTATCTCTTGCTTCTCCTGGAAAACGGAACAAGCATATATAATAAGATATAGAGATGTATAAGGTTCTCATGGATCAGCCAAAACAAATCAGCAGAAGTGAACATACACATTAAAAATGAATAATGGGCTGTTATCAATTATAAGAAAACAGATGTAAGTTTTAGAAACAACACTATGAATAAACCTAAAAAGGAATAAATAAGAAATTAGATTAAAAAATTACAGATTAAGCGAAAGATATCTAAAATTTATGCTTAATAAATACCCCAATGGCAACTGCATAATTAGCATATTTGTCTAAAGAACCTGAATTGTGCTTCTATTTATACTTTTGATCTCAAGAATTATACTTTTAAGGGATATCCCCTCAGACTGAAGAGACATATGAACATTCCTTTGAACTGCATCATGAAAATCAAAAATCAAAATGAAAGGAAACCTCATTACTCACAGTCATCAAAGCAAAATGTACAAGTTTAAGCTTGGCTAAAATTTTCATACTATAAAGGAACAGTTTACTCAACAGTGTAAGTCATTTAAATAAAAAAGCCAAAACAACTACTTAAAATTAAGCACTATTTAAACATTTAAAAGCAACATACAAAATATTAATTACACACTGAGTGATTTTTATTAAATATTAATTCTTCTGGAAAACATCTTGACAATGCTTTTTGCTTCTAGCTACTTTACTACATGTAATTCTGAGTAAAACTGCTTACTAAACTTTAATTCAAAGTTTATCAGTTCACATAGGTCTTCTTCCCCAATAGGTATTTTGTGAGATTTTGCTGACAGTGTGCAATGTTAACAAGCACCCATTAAAATAATGTCTCTAAACACTGATAGATAAAAAAATCAATGACTTACCTCAATATAAAACACAGTATCATTTAAATCTGATTTAAAAAGGCAGCTAAATCTCAATTTACGTATGTACTAAATGCAGTTTAAAATAATATTGTACTGCAAAACAACTGGTATGAACTCTTCAAAAGTATCAATGGCATGACAAACAAATAAAGGCTGGGTAAGGCTGGGTGACAGGACAAATAAATGTAATATATGATTCTTACTGGATCCTGCAATTTCTTGCATGTCATCAGTGCACAATATAGTTACTTAGGATATTTCTTGTTCTTAGGAGATTCAAATTCAAGTATTTAGGGATTAAGTGCTATTATGAATGAAATCTGAAACTAACTCTCAAATGATTCAGCCAAAAAATGTGTTTGTGTGTGTAAAAATAAACCAAATGTAGCAAAGTGTTAACTGGAAAAGCTAAGGGAAAACTATGTGTTGCTCATTATAATATTTTGCAACATGTTTGAATTTTCAAAATTAAAAAATTTAAAGCAGTAACAATAAATCAAAATAGTACAGTATATCATTATGTTTAGGTTCTTGATTGAGAGAAACTTGGATTCAAATCTAGCTGTATTTATTCTGACTATTGCAAATTACTTATTTTCTCTTAGACCCTTCCCACATCTGAAAAATAGAGGAGAAATGTTGCTGCCAATACCTTACACAGTATTTTAATTAAAAAATATTCTGCTCAGAGGGAAGGGGGGGTGGAGAGATGGGCAAAATAGGTGAAGGGGAGGAGATACAGGCTTCCAGTTATGAAATGAATAGGTCATGGGAACAAAAGGTACGACATAGGGAATATAATCAATGATATTGCATAGCAATGTATGGTGACAGATGATAGCTACCCTTGTGGTGAGCATAGCATAACGAATAGAGATGCTGAATCACTAATGTTGTACACCTAAATCTAGAACACGGTGTATCAACTATACTTTAATGAAAAAAAATTTTTTTAGAAGTATTCTCAAGTTATATAAAATGCATCAATTATTTTCATAGACTAAAAATGGTAATATCCATGGTTTGCACACTCTCAAAATCATGATCATAAAAATCAGATCACAATGTAAAATAGGATAAAGAAAGTACAAGAGACTAAACATTCTATACTAAGCCTATCAGACATCCTGAAAATTCACTTTTTTTAAAGATTTTTTTTTTATTTTTTTTATTTGACAGAGAGAAACACAGCGAGAGAGGGAACACAGGAAGGGAGAGTGGGAGAGGGAGAAGCAGGCTTCCTGCTGAGCAGGGAGTCCGATGCGGGGCTCGATCCCAGGACGCTGGGATCATGACCTGAGCCGAAGGCAGACACTTAACGACTGAGCCACCCAGGCGCCCCGAAAATTCACTTTTTTGAAGAATTCTCTTGCTTAAATGCTTACTGGTCACTCTCCTTATCACTTATCACCTCTTTGATTTTCCACATATAAATACAGGGATTTTAACTACAATGGTATAAGAAATTAACTGCATGTCTGAAAACTAAGCTTTGGCCCCCAGAACACTGAAAAATCAACTATCTGAATTTTTTCCTAGTGGCAATTCTCTCTGTAAATAGGAATTTGTTAAATCTAATAGATAATGCTATTATTCAAAGACAATTTATTTAAATAATTGGTGCTGAGGCGCCTGGGTGGCTCAGTCGTTAAGTGTCTGCCTTCGGCTCAGGTCATGATCCCAGGGTCCTGGGATTGAGCCCCATGTCGGGCTCCCTGCTCCGCGGGAAGCCTGCTTCTCCTTCTCCCACTCCCCCTGCTTGTGTTCCTGCTCTCGCTCTCTCACTCTCTCTCTGTCAAATAAATAAATAAATAAATAAATAAATAAATAGTGCTTCCGGTTATGGCTGATGTTATTTACAGTAGGGAAACATATCACCAAATATCCACAGATTAAAACCTACTTAATTAAATATATGCCCTCATTCATTCTTGATTTTAACAGCCCTACTATAGCAGGGAGCTTTAGCTTTGCAGACAAGAAAGAGGTATCCATGGTTGAACTTCAAAAGCTCCTTAAAGTCAAGAAATTTTACGCAAAACTTTGTGCATATGTATATTTCTCTACAGAAAAGTCCAACCTTTCTCTGAGATTTTCAGAAGTATCAATGAGTCAACATAGATCAGTTCAAAACCTCTGCATCAGAGCAATGGCTAAAGGCCTGAGGCCTCTTCCCACAGCTTAAACATCCTACACACAATGAGGTTCAATTATTTTTCATAATGGCTCATTTTCAAATCTATAATAGAATCAATAAGGAAAAAACCATTAATTTGTATTTAGAAAGCTCTTACCAAGATTTTGTAAAGTCAGTGTGACAAATAAACACATTCACCACAATGTGGCTCTATCTAAAATCTTGCCTAAGTAAAGAAAAATGATAGCTTCAAAGCTTATATTTATCAAAGTGTTAAATGTTTATCTCTAGGTGGGAGAGTTCACAGGTGATGATAAATTTTCACTAACATGTATTAACTCTGTAAAGAGGAAGAAAATACACAGTTGACCCTAAAACAACCAATTCCCTGAACAGTCGAAAATCCACATGTAACTTCTGACAACCCCCAAAATTAACTCCTGTTGAGTGGAAACCTTACTGATAACAGTTAATTAACACATATTTTCTATGTTATATGTATTATATGCTGTATTCTTACAATAAAGTAAGCTGGAGAAAATATGTTATTAAGAAAATCGTAAGGAAGAGAAAATATATTCACAGTAATGCACTGAATTTATAGAAAAAAATTCACGTGTAAGTGGACCTGTGCAGATCAAATCTGTGATGTTCAATGGTCAACTGTATAATCTGTAATAATTATCCTTCCTCTAAAATATTAGTATAGTATTTTCTTCTGAAAACACAAGTGTAAAATTTATTACTCACCTTAATAGCTTTGATGGCTGCCTTAGTAATTTGGGTCATTTTCGCTTTAGAAATGGGTGGTTTGTAGTCATTCAGGGAATACAACTGATAAAAAGAAAAACAAATTTTAAATACAGCAAAACTAATGGTCCCTAAGCAATTACATGAAATTACTAAACATTTCCATTTTTATATTCCCAATAAAATCAAAGTGCTGCTTTCTTTTAAAAATCAAGTTCAACATCATTAGCTGTCAGGGAAATGTAAATCAAAACCGCAATAAGTTACAATTTCACACTTACTTGTTTATAATAAAAAAGACAGATAATAACAAGTGTGAACAAGGATGTGGAGAAACTGAAACCCTTATACATTGCTAGTGGGAATATAAAATGGTACAGCAGCTTTGGAAAATGGCTTGGCAGTTCCTCAAAAAGTGAAACACAGTAATATGTAATATGACCCAGGTATATAGCCAAAAGAGATGAAAATATATATTCACATTAAAACCTGTACACAAATGGTCACTGCAACATTATTCATAAAAGTCATTTAAAAAGTGGAAACCACCCAAATGTCCATCAAATGAATGGATAAACAAAATGTTATATCCATTCAAAATATTAGCCATAAAAAAGAAATGAAGTACTGATACATGCTACAAAATGGATGAACCTTGAAAACATTATGCTCAGTTTAAAAAGCCATATTAAAAAGACCAGATATTGTAAGATTCCATTTATATGATATGTTCAGAAAAGGCAAATCTATTTGTGACTGCCTACAATTGGGGGAATTGGAAAGAAATGATGAATAACTACTACTGAGTACAACATTTCTTTTGGGGGGTGATAAAAATATTCTAAAATTGATTGTGGTAATGTTGTACAACCATACTAAATGCCACTGAATTATATACTTCAAATTGGTTAATTTTATGGTATATGAACTATATCTCAAAACTTTTTAGAAATCAAGGGATTTAAGGTTTAGCAGTAATCTCCACCAAAAAATAATTTTGTTTTGAAATTTCTCATATAAGCAAAGGATAATAAAACTGCTTAAAGAGAAACAGTTAAAGGGGGGAGAATCAAGCAATGAACAAATAACTAAGGTTAAATGAATATTGATTAAAACTTGCAGTGTACTCAGTGATGACAAGATTTTAACTATAATGCTGTAAGATACTAACCTCAAAGTCTGGAAACGAAGCTTTGGCCATTTTATAACATTGCAAAAACAAAAGAACAGACTTTAAAAGTAACTAAAACAGAATGTGTTGGTTAGTCAACTAGCAATTTAGGGAGTCCTCTACAGCTTTTGCTCCAGCACCCCTTATAACCTATCTATCAACGAATTCTACTGATTTCTACCCAGTGTTCCCATTTTTCTCCTCTTCTTCCTCCAACAACCACCAAAACCACAGCCCCAAACACTCTCATCTCTTACCCAGAGGACACCTCTAAATGGATGTGCATGTCTATTTTTTCAAAAACTAATGTCTATCTTTTCAAAAACTAATCTGATCAGGTGACTAAATGCCCCCTTAAAAAGGTCAATGACTTCCCATGCTTTGGATAAACATAGTCGGAACTCCTGTCCACCTTTCCGGTCTCATCTCACTCCACGCTCCCCTCCTGAGCCCTTTGCTCCAGGCACAATGATCCTGTTTCAGCTTCCTGCCACACAGCGTTGAAAATGAGCTTGTTCCCTCTATTTCGAATACTCTTCTCCTCGCTAGTTAACGTGTACTCATCTTAGTTTGAGCAACACCTAATGAGGAAAGCCTTCCCTACCTTTCCAGCCAGATCAAGACCTCCCCTTTTATACTCTCACTGTACTGTCATTCACCTCTGAAGCACTCATCATAGTACTTTGACATTTACTTCTCTGATCATTTAATACTTGATTTTTTAAAAGGACTGTCATAAAGAGTGACAGTAACACCAAAGGTCAAAGTTATGTAAGTTCCTTTAATACAGTTAAGATGTTAATGCTGTAAGAGCTGTTCAAGCTGAAATCACTTGTGGGAGAAGTACAGATGTCTTTCCCTTTAAGTTCCCAGAGAAGTGCCCACCTGTTGATACTGCCAACCATTAGGTCAAGATCCCATCAGACCATTTAAGAAGCTACCTCTGCTAAACTAACAGGAAATTTTAATATACTTGTGGCTTCAATTCCTACCTGAATGCCAGTCGACTCACCAGGTACAAAATTACATCAACACATTCTATAGTGCTTACAACAAGCTGTACGTATAAAGTAAAGGTCAGCTTCCCAGAATTTCTCAGTAGGCCCTGGCTACTGCCCATCTGAGATCCACTCCTGCCCTCTCCTACAAAAGAATAAGCTCTAAGGATAGACACCATGTCTTTTTTGTTTAGATTTTTTCCTTTTCTCCAAACTGTATCTTCAGTGTCTGGGAGAAAATAGATATTTGTTAAGAATAAATTAAAATGAACAAATATAAGACACAGCATTGCACAAGCTTTGCACAGAAAAACATGGATATGAATTCCAACTATGTCACCTTATCACAAGCTGCTAAACCTCTGAAGCTTAGGTTTCTCATTCACAAAACAGAAACTCATTTCACAGAAACACCACATAAAAATAAAGCTTTTAGAACATACTAAAGATGCTCAACAGGGTTAGCCATTATTAAAATTAAAATCCTACTCTGTAGGCATTCTCCATTTAAATGAGTAATATTAAAGGATCCATCAAACACTTGAAAGTCCATTCTTTAGTAATTTATATTATTAGGGCAATGAAGATGCATCAGCTCTTCCCCCACAGTTGACTACATATACTTTCATTTTGTGTAGTAAAGCCCTGAAGTTTCGATCAAGCATTAGCTCATACTCTAGCCGATCACAGCTTTGTTTGCTGTGTGTGTGTGTGTGTGTGTGTGTGTGTGTGTGTGTGATGGAGGGTAGGGGATGAGGTAGGGGAAATATAATTTAGATTTATAAAACATTTTCAACAGTCTGAGAAGTCAGCTTTCACCTGAGATCCCCTGCCTTTTTAAATGCACATACTGCAGAAATTTAAGATAGTACTCAGAGAAATACCGAGTAATTAAGTACTTTTCCAAGGCTCACTTAATACATAGGCCTCCAACTAATCATTACTCTAGATTCTCTAAAATCTCATTTCTTTATTAAATCTGATTATCAGAAAATAGGCACAGATAACTCCTCAGTGAATGCCTTAACTAAAATTTAATATTAAGTCTTTAGCTTACAAAGACTGATGAAAGACTTGCTCTAGAACGTTGTGTTTTACCCATCTGTTAAAGAAATAATTATCTTTAACCAAAAAAAATCCCTTATGTAAGAATACCCAAAGTATATTCTCCTTGAATGCAGAAACAGGAGAATGATTCAGCTAGTTTCCATGTGCTTACTTTTTTAATCAAAAAAAGATGGTTTAACAGGTTTCTCCCATCTTGTGCCTTGGCTTCTAAGTGAGCTTGCTCAAGTTTATCTGTCTGAACATTAAATCTCAAATGTCTGTTGACATCTACTTCTCTGCTATATTTAGCCATTAGTTTTATTGTATCCAAATATAAAATAAAATATATTTTCACCAGTGTCTGATTTTGATAAGCTGTTTCAAAGTTCTTTTTGAAGTAGGTGGAGTTAATGAACTAATGTGAACTGAACACATGACTGCAGAGACAGCCTGTCATCCTCCACTTTTCCTTCTATTTTCTTTCCCTCTCTCTCTCTCTCTCTTTCTTTCTTTTGGGTGGGGGGGGAGAGGGAGAATCCCAAGCAGGCCCCACACCCCTCAAAACCCTGAAATCATGACTCCAGCTGAAATCAGTCAGACTTAACCTAGGCGCCCCCTTTTTTTTTTTCCCTTCTATTCAATTTCTAGCTCCAAATTTAATTCAATTCCCCTTCTATTCAATTTCTAGCTCCAAATGTTCTATACATTCTCCTGTTGTCAATCCTCAACATCAAACTCAGTTCTCTAGGACCTCCCTCAAAGACCATTTCTTGAGACCTGTAGGACATCACTATAACATTCAGTATTTTAGAAAAAGAAAATAGTGCTAAATATGCTGCCAGACCATTCAAAGCTTTTTAAAAACTTCTGTAAGTAATCGAATTTATATCGAGAGAATATTTAATCTTTAGATCTACAGGATTTGACAGAATGCCTGATACATAGTAATAAACCTGTCTTACCCAGCTGATAACTTAATTCTGCTGTAACATTGCCATTAGGAAGTGCCAAGCTTCATTCCAACCCTCATTCTAATTAGATGTATCAACTCCTCACCAAAAACTGGGAATGTAATTCTCCCTGTATTCTCAAAATTTGATCTGGTTTTATACTGGAAAATGTTGGAGAAGAATGAAAGTCTATTCTGGGACCTTTTATCCATTTCCCTAATGATTCCCACCTCTATGCTTGGGTCAGAAGATCAGGGCTGCATGCACTCTAAGTTTGGGCTATCTAGATACCCAGTTTTCTCATGTATAGGCTTTTTTTTTTTTTTTAAAGATCATTTATTTGAGAGAGCAGGTGAACGAGTGCAGGGAGGGGCAGAGGGAGAGAGAAGCTCAAGCAGACTCCCCGCTGAGTCAACAGGGGGGGCTTGATCCCATGACCCTGACTGAGATCATGACCTGAGCCGAAATCAAGAGTCGGTGCTTACCCGACTGAGCCACCCTGGAGCCCTTCATATATAGGTTTTAATCCCACCAATCTATTTCTTGGGCCTGGCTCCCTCCTTCCTTGTTTTCTAAAATCTAAATGGCTGCTGATTCCCATTAGTTTGTTCCATCAAATTATTCCCTCAGTTAAGACTATTTTAACTTTTCTAGGTCTACTGATAACCTGCTGTGTCTGAACTCTGCTTCCCAAATCTAAGCTTCTTCCCCTCAAATGCTTTATTCTAATGTTATCTAATCTCGTGTGACAACCCTTGATTTATACAAACTCTCCATGTCCCTCTGACCTGAGGGACTGAAATGAAGTCCCAGTCTTGACCTGCCCCTTCCTATGGCTATAACTCAAGACTTACCAACTTAAAACATAGGCACTGAACAATAGCCTGGATTTCAGTCTAACTCCTTTATGTTTCAACT